TCGAAGTATTTAAAAAAATAAACAGTTTCCGATCGTGCTCATAAAAGTTTCGTTTTCTGCTTCTTATCGTTTGATTTTGTTCGTAATAAGAGTTGTTAATTTTATTTCAAATTAATATAATAATCACATTACAAAAATGGAAAATTTATATACAAATAAAATTTTGAAATACGTTAAACTATTCAATTGTAAATATAGTTTGTGTAGATCTAAATAATTTACATTTAATGTTAATTTTTGACAAATTATATATATTTAAATGATCAAATAGAATTGGTAAAACATGCAAAAAGTAATTTTCTAAGTATTGCTTTATTTTATTGGTAATTTTTTTATTCTGTTCTATTTTTAACACGTGCAGCGAAGTGACCGATCACGTGGTCAACACGTGTTTACTCTCTTTCGATTGTGATCGACCAATAAAAATCTCTAGCGGAATGATACCGACAAACTGTTGGTTTATAGCAGGTTCCAAGTTAGGGTATAGATGTAGGGTGCATGCGGATTTTTTACGTTCTAAACTAACGAAAGCAGGGGCAATATTAAAGTACTTCACATCACGGCGTAACGGGGCCAGACAGGAAAGTCTACTGAGAATCATAAAGGCAGTATTGGGACCAATGGCGGAGTTCGGGGCACCGGTGTTAGTGGGAGCACCAAATACGACGTTAGCTTGGATTGAGGGGCCAATCCGGGAGGCGTTACGGACAGCCTTGGGTGTGCCACGCACGACTCCTCTGAGATCATTATATGCAGAAACAAGTTATATCCCACTGAAGGAGCGGATCCGGATGAAGGCACTAAAGATCGGGATGGGTAACATCTCCAGAGGAAGATATAGTCCGTTACACCAGATCTTGGTAACAAAGGAAGGTCTCCTATATTACAAATGGAGGAAGAATCAACAGCCATATGTCGCCTGGCTGTATGAGGAGGCACGCCATTCAAAAATTCCCATCAACCGGATCTACAGACAACAGTCGGCGCCGCCGGAGGCGGAGGAAGTAAAAAGGAGACTGAGCTTGACCGATTACAGGGAGGTGGAAGGATTACCACCGGAAGCGTATCAGGCGCATTTCTGCTGGATAATGGATAACAAGTGGCCAAAGTGGATACTGATGGGGGTGGATGCCTCGAAGTCGGAGGGCCGTACGTCTTTAGGGATAGTGGTCCCGTCGCAGGGGAGGTCAGAGGCCTGGTTATTAAATGAGGCCTGCAGTGTGTTTGGGGTGGAGGCACAGGGGCTCCTGTGGTCTCTACGGGTGATGGGGGAGGTAAATGAGCCGTGCGCGGTTTTTTCGGACAGTTTGTCAGTACTTACAGCTGTGGCGAACGTGGGTTTTTCATCCCCGGGGGTAATTATAGATTTTGCAGCGGGCCTGGGGTTAAGGCGGGGAGCTTGCGTGGCCGGGTGGACCCCTGGGCATACAGGAGTTCTTATTAACAAACGCGCAGACAGGATGGCATGGGTCGGGGAACCAGACGGATCGATCTGGCAGACGTTAATGCCACGGGACGTGGCAAGGGCAGACAGGGAGAGGGTAGTACACCGGCTTACGGAGTGTTGGACAGCTGACTTGAGGAGGAAGAGCAGGGATTATCTTTGTCCGTTTGTCAACTGGCACTATAACTACGCATCGAACAGATACATGGAGACTATTCTCGCGCGCTTGCGTACGGAGACGGCCCGTTTGAATGATTTTTTGCACTCCAGACAGCTACACGACACGCCTCACTGCCCTCACTGCAAGAAGAGGGAAACGGCAGCGCACTTCTGGCTAGAATGTCCGGAATATGCTAACGCTCGCAGAGACTTGGGAACTGCCCTGGGTGTCAGACTGACAGATAAGAGTACTATGTGGGATGTATATGCGCCGACGACACAGATCACACCCCACCATCTAGTGGTGGCGTTAGAAGCATACATCGCACGAACCAGACGATTTAAGTAAGGGAACCGGAGAGTGGGGAAATCGGAGAAAGAGCCTAGAAAGAGCTAAAATCTCCATATTAACACTGAAGAAGAAGAAGAAGAATATAGATGTAATGGTTTGAATCCACTCAATATGACGCTACCAAAGTGCAAATTCTGAACTGATTGGTTGAAACAAAAGGACAAAGCAGAGATTGTACAGTAGGATTATGGGCAACTGTACGTTCAGACACTGATGTATTTTGCAAAGTATGTAATTGCATAATACAAGTAAAAAAAGGTTTCCAAGCACTTTTTGATCATGGCAGTACTGTCAAACACAGACAAAAATTTACCTGTGCTTATGGTCCAAGACAGTTACACCTGACATTGGTTGCACCAGGTGATAGTTTTGCAGGCCCATCAAAAAATGCTGAAATTCCAAGTAATACTGATAATGGGACTGGAGAAGGATTGGCAACTGTGAGTTTATATAATCCAAGAGATGTTGCATACCATGCAGAACTGATATGGGCCATGAAAACAATATGTAGTAATTTCTCATTTGCTGCTTCTAATAATATGGTTCCAACACTACAAGCAATGCTTCCAAAAACTAAACTTCCTGAAGGAATATCAATGAGTGAGAAGAAATTGCGCTATT